GAGAGAGAGAGAGAGAGAGAGAGAGAGAGAGAGAGAGAGAGAGAGAGAGAGAGAGAGAGAGAGAGAGAGAGAGTAAAAGGGCCTTTACGAATTAGACCCCAAATGAATAACCAACAGTGAGGGGCCCTGTTGGGCAGAACTTAAATTCACGAGCAGCAATCCAAAAGACATAGTTCCTGAGGCAAATGTCGCATCCATAATGAAATGAAAAGTCGTTTTGAGCAGTCACAAACAGGTCCTGAACGAACAGGTATTGGACACAGCTTTTAAGACTGAGTTAGGGTCATGTCTCCTCGATGGAAATTCATGTCTGTTCGGCAATAAAGTCAAAGGCCACAGTCCCAGTCCAGTCATAGTCCCACGACTCAGTCCTGATTCAGACCAGGAGTCCAAAGGACAGGCCCGACGGCTAAAACAGCAGCAGACCATGGGAAAAGATACTGGGACACACACTTTGCAACAACTGGTACTGGGCAGTAGTCCCAGACAATTGGAGGCCGAGTTCAGACCTCGCCAGTCCAGTCCAGCGCTATAAAGGACTGGCCAGCCTCCTCATTCGGCAGATGCTCATCTCGCATGGTGTGGAAGTGCCGTGGCACTTGTGTGCGCTAGTTGTGTGTGAGCAGAGCTGAGCTGAAGAGCAGCGCTATGTGTGAAAGAAGAAGTGAGCGCTGGCTGGATAGAAGACAGCCATAGCTGTGCCAGCGCCAGTTAGTACATTAGTAGGGACAGTTAGTAGAAGAGTACAGTGAGTAGTATTCAAAGTAGATCCTCGTGTGATAGGGAGTGTGCATGCATGATGAGTGAGAGTAGATCAGGACTACAGATAGAAGGAGAGAAGAGAGAGATCGAGGAGGAAGAAGTGAGCTATGGTGACACCTACCTGTTGAGCGCTGTTGTTGACATTTGGCAGCTGGTGTTGAGCGCCAGGCCTGGGAACTCATGTTGATTGAAGAAGACTTGTAAGTCTGTTCGGCGCTGTACATTTTGGACTCTTGATGTTTTCTCTCTAATCTGGGTTTGATAGAGTTAAGCTTCCTGGTTCTCATTCATCTTCTATCGGGCTTTGTGTGAGACATCGCAATCTGTGAAAATCTGTGTATATGCATGTGATCTGATTCACTCCAGCAAGTGATGAACAGTCGGGTTCCTTGCAATTTGGTATCGGAGCAGAACTTGTTACTCTCACTGGACGCCCTGGCATGATCAAGGCCGGCGAGAAGGATAGCTGAGGAGAGGTGAAGGAGAGTTGGATTGGGATAGAGGGGGAAGTTTGCCGAAGAAGAAGGGGTTAAGGAGGTGAAGACTTACCTACGACTGGACCAATTGGAGCGAACGTGGAGTCTTCATCAACGGCTACAAAGAAGAGAAGCACCTCCTGCCCCACCTCCCTTGTTGATTGTAAACCTGTGTGTTGTGTATCTCTTTCCCCCTTCATTTTGGTGGTCGCTGCTGCTGTCTGGATGAAACCTGTGGCCTGGTCTGATCTGACAGATACGACTAGAGGGTCAACATCTGGTCTTCGTGTTAGCCATCTGGTCTGTCGAGAGGTAGGGAAGATAGGATTAGGCTGGGAACTGTGTACTGCCATGTCAGAGTGTAAGTGGCTGAGAACAGAGAAAACCGTGATAAATTGGATTTGTTTTTGAAGTAAGTTTGAGTATCTCTTAGCTACCTTTTCTAACGAAAAGTGACCAGCCAGACCATCGAAGGCATAGATCAGCTAAGTAACTAAACAGGCAGCAAACAAAAAAAAGAAAAACATTGTATATTATTTGCATTATTAAATTTCGTTATTCTGAAGCAGCGGCATCCAGATTTTGAAAAAAAAAGAAGTTACAGATCCCATCCTCTCAAGTAGACTAGGATCCGGGGTAGCTACTTGGTGGTCCGACGGAGGTCTCCCCTGTGCTGTTCTCCACCGTGGATGACTATCCCATGTACGAGATGGTGGCTCTGTCTGTTCTTTTCGGGCCATTATTCCGTTTCTTCTTTCCTCTCGGCTTTGGGAGATTGTGCATCTCCCGCATGATGATGAGATCCGGAACTGCGAAACCCGGACTCCCAGCAGCAGAGCAGGCAAAAGTAGACTGCCGCTTAGCCGAGAAAAAGAAAGAAAACGAACAGAAGAAGAAATAGAAAGAAGAAGAGTTGAGGAAGAAAACTCAAATAGAAGAAGAAAGAATTAAAAAAGAGTTGAAAAAAAAAAAATGGAAAAAGAATTGCAGGAAGAATTAAAGACCATAGAGGAGGAAGATGAACCTGCAGATGACGCAGACAAACTCATCAAACGTCGAACTGAAAGGGGCGAAAGCAGTCAGACTGGTGGGTTGAATATACAAGTCAGACCCTTAAATTGGTATGACCAATATAGCTATACTAGTGAAAGGATTGAACAGACAGAGGAAGAACGGGACACGTTTATCGCAAAATTGACATCGATTGAAGATAAAGGGAAAAGGAACTCTTGTTGGGAGAAAAACGAACAGAATTGCACAGCAAAATTGTTAGCAGCAAAGCAACAAGAGCTGGAAGAGAGAAAAAGACTGCAGGTAGAGGGAGAAACGCTGCAAAGAGAATTACGAGCGTAGAAAGAACGCAAACAGCAACAAAAGAACAACTTGCCCTCTTGACGGAAACTGTTCTCCATACAAAGCAGGAGTTGGCAGCGATGAACAAGACCTTGCAGAAAGTTGAAGCCCATCTGTATCTGTATGAATTTGAGGGAGTCTGGAATACCTTCTTACAAAGATCTGCAGCAGAAGTTGATCAACATTTGCAAGCATACATTGTAAAACTACATGAGCAGATCAACAAAACTTTGACGCCCGCCGTGATTGAGAAATTGGTAAGTAGCGGTGGAGGAGATGGAGGAGATGGAAATGGCGATGGAGACAGAGATAAGAAGAAGAAGGGTGTGCTGCAAGAAGACGCAGGGGAAGTCATAAAGATTAAAGTAAAAGTGTCATGGACATACACCGACAAAAAGGAAGAAAGTGTTTTGCATTGGACTGCAGCGGTAGAGTCCTATGTGTACGGGCAACGTATTCCGTATTGGGACAGGGTTCTCATGGCTAGTTCATGTATGGTCGGAGATGCAATGAGTCTTGCAATTTCCCTGCAGAAAGAAGTTAGTTGTCTGTCTATGGTAGAGTAT